CGCGCCGCACTGCCGTGTAAATCTTACATATTTATTATTACCTATACCGCCGTAGGTATTTGCCTCTTGCCAGCCACTTCATATAATATGCGCATCATGTAAAAAAACATAAACCAAATTGCCCTACAATAATCACCAATGGCGTTAAGTACACCGTGGATCGGCGATAACTACCGCGTAGCGCTGGACATATAATTTTTTTTTAGTTTAACGTTATCAAATCAGTAACAGGGAAAAAAAATATCTTGACACCGCACGTGTGACCAGTGCCACCTATACAATATTATCAACTGCCGGTAAAAAACATATACTTAACACGACTCTGTGCCCGGTGAACTACACAGGAAGCTCAGAAAAGAGAGTTTCTATTTCTACAATAATTGCGAATGAATTGGTTTACATGTAACGTCATATCTCTTAAAATATTGCTGTGTATTGTAAATCCGACGAATTGAATTACACAATAATTAACGATTGCCGTTTACCGCCGCGTGTTACCTAACTGTATAATATATATATATATATATACATATTAGATTTAAATAGCGGCAAGATGGTAATCTAGAATAAAAAAACACGTTATTGACATGGTTGGCGGCGACGGTTTTGATTTCTATCGAATAGTAGATTAACAACATACAAATTAAAACACCGCAATAATCGTAATTATACTTCTCTTTTAGGTTCCCCGCGGAGTATTAATTATATATAATAAGTAGGTAAGTATGTGTGTGGCTATAATTTGAAAATGTTTTAATAATATTGTATCAATCTAAAATTATATAATTATACAAAGTGTTAAATGTAGAGAGTTGAAAGAAATATGTTCATTTGTTTTCCACCAAACGTTTGCTGTGTGAGCTAAATTATTATTGGCTATTGTAACATTTCGATAACGGGTAGTTTAAATTGGCAAATTACAGTACACATTATTTGGCCCGCGAGACAGCTCGTTAGAAATTAAACGGACAAGTCATCTTCTAGGACGTCGATTCGAGTGGAAACTTGAGATCGTTATAAAACAAAATAAAAAAAGTCCGGCGATTGCTTCGTTTTTACTGTACGCCGCTTTTCCGGAAATTGAGCAACTATTACTAAGGAGACGTTTCCGTTCTCTATTGATATGTTGTAGAGAGAAATTGTTAAAGAAAAGTTGTTTAACGACGACGTACTTGTTAATTGTAGCGTTTCCTTGAGGTGTGTTTCCGATTGAATATGATCGATTTTAACGCAATAAAACTTTTTAGCTTTTAATATCTGAAACTCGTCTTGATCCCTCAAATACTTACTTAGAAAGACTTTGAAACTAAACATTAAACACAAAGTCCGCTTTATACAGCCCACCCGGGCTTGTAACCTTATAGAATAGAACCCAAACCGATATAAACTGTCAGACTCAAACAAACCGTTGTCTGTTATTTTATTTAACTGCTAAAACCAATTATTTAAATTTACTAAAAAAACGAAAGGGCGTTCCATAGCTGTTTAGCTTAACATGAAAACCTGCCAAGTATAGCGTAGTCTAGCATTGTTAAACTATACTTCATTTTTAAGCTAAATTGGTAAGAACAACCATATGTGTAGGTGTATCAAATTATGTCTACTCAAAATAAATTTATAAATTATTTTAACCCTGATTAGGGTATACCTAAGCGCCTTCTGGGTGTTAAAAACTAACTAATAGACAAAAAAAACAACACATACACACTAAATGTATGCCAATATATTAGGTATACCGCTTATATAGTTATTACTTAGTATATTTTTATACGATCATAGTATACCTAAATCTAGCGGTGTCACGTTTTGGCGTTAAAGTCACATTGTCGCTCTGCGAACGGCCATCGTGATGTGAACGTTTGTCTAAAATATTCACGATTAAAAATGCATATTGTACTTGTAACTTGCGTCTCGTTGAATATATTTAAATTGGATACAAAACATATTAAAATGGCAATGCCAAAATTAAACTAGACGTCTATGTAAATCGCTGCTATCGCCTCGGCCATAATTATATGCGCAATAAGTAGCGGTACCCAGTTCTTAAGACATAATAACCGTCGAATTTGTCCGTTCATTGTTGTCCACTCGAATGTTATTCGCAGAGTACCGATGACATGCTGCACAATCATCTAGTACAACTACAAATGTATTTGTTGTGTATTAGTAATTTGTTAAACAAATGTTAAAATATTATGAAAGCAGAAAGGGTGGAAGGGTATCTAAAACAGTAAAACAGATTTATTAGAAAACGTATATGTATAAACGGCACTACCAACACATATATATATATGTAGAACTGCTAATGAGTGCAATAACAGTACACAGTGTAGTATTTTTTATAAACTAAATGACGAAAAAAACTTATGATTCTGCGGCCATCCGTTCAGGGGGGATACGGTAAATATTGTGTTGATGGGTTTCGGCGTTGGACGCGTGCGACGACTTCGATATTGTCTTAAACGTTGTGAACGACCAAACCCGTGGCTTCTCTTATTTCACAGTACCTATATACGCGGTGTACTTAAATGTATAATAAGTTCGTGTCGGCCGCTAAAGGCATTACACTCGTGTAGGAAAAGTAACGCCGAACAACGTCGGACAATAGCAGCAACACAATGTGCTTGGCGGTGGCGGCATCATCCTCCTGTATAATATTATACAACAACATTGGCTCTATTATTTCACTGTTAATGTCGTGTTTTCTAGATTGTGTATATTACGTTTGAAGCAAAAAATATATATGTATAAACGACAAAAAAAAGTAGGTACGCGGCTTTATGTATAATGGAAAAGAAGATACTACACGCATCGGTTATGCTAATTATTATTGCTGCCGCCACGGTGTGCGCTTAAAACAGGTACACCTCTATTGTGTATAATGTTGTATTATAATATGTGCAGACGTTGATCGCACGCGCGCCGAGGGTAACTTAATTAAGTCGGCGGCGTAAAAAAACCCCCGTCTTTTATGCATTGTAATCAGAGTATATTATTTTATACAAGTATATGTTTAATATGTATGTGCAATAATATACCTATCGACGACCGCATGGGCCGTCGGAAAACACACTCGCACAAAACGGCGGTAGTAGCCTGTTGTACGCTTTGTATGTACTTATATAAGTCCGTATAAGGTTTTAATTACCGTTTAAAAGAGAAACCTATATAATTTCCACGAGGACGGCGATCTCAGAACTAAATGATAAACCTAAATAGAATACAATACAATAATAAACTCCAAGTTTAAAAAAAAAACCAATACCAACTACTAACCAGGCACCAGCAGAGTGTTAAAGGCCGCGTGCCCGTATAAAATGTTTAGTTTTCGGATAGGACTTACTCCCTGTAGACGTTGTTGGAGACAAAAACGTCACTCAAAAACACGGAGATTAATTGGATGTACCAACCGGTTAACGTTGGGCGGCATATTAAAAAAGACAGTTTATTATAGGTGTACTTAATAAAAATGAATCGCGACGGAATGCTAATGAGAAGAACAAAAATAGAATAAAGCACTGTGCAAACGAAAAAAACCCGTTTAAGTATGCTGAGAAAAAAAACCTACACAGCTATATCGAGCCTTTGTCAATCTCGGCTCGGTATATACCGCCTTGATTGGCAATTTGCGGGCCTTTGAACCGTCGCCGTCGCAGGGCGGAGCGCATTCACCGTCGTCCTCCCCGCACTCCCCGCCCCGGCGCCAACACCTCCAGCGCAGAGTCCCCGGGACAGCGTGAAGGGATGACGGGAACGCGAGCGGGACAGACGAGTTCTCCGCGGATAAATGCGAACTTTTTTTTTTCTTCTTCTTCTTTATTTTTCGTTAGCGCCTTTTTGTCTACCCCCGAACGTCTCTCCTTGTCGTCGAAGCGTTTTGCGACAGAGCCGGGGCCGCAAGGGGAGGGTAGCCAGGGACAAAAGCTCGTAATTTATTTCCCTTTTCTCTCGCTCACACACACACACACACACACACTCTAATATGGAAATGCGACGCGAAATAACGAACCCTGGGAGAAGCGAAAAAAAAACATTCACACACACACACACAGCATCGCCAGAAAGAACAATATTATTCTTTTCCGCCGTCGTCCTTCTTATATTCTCATTCTTATTCTTTGTTCCTCTTTTTCCCGTTTCTCTACCTATATTATTATTATTATACACACACACACACACACACACCCAACACCCTTGCGATTTCCTTATTTTTCCACCACCACCACCACCACCTCTGTTATCCTCGTCTCGTTTGCCGGCAGAAGGAAATCCGATCGATCTCTCGTTAGCGAGACTGCGGTAACCATTTCCCCCCCCCTCCCACCTTTCGTCCATCAGTTCTGTGTTGTTGTTTTTTATTTCTCTTCAAAGTCCTCCGTCGACTAATCGGCCGGGTATGGAAATCTGGAAACGACGGGCCACCCAACTATTTCCCATTGCCCGTAGAGGAAAACAACACAAACGCACATATATATATATATAACGCCTAGAACATGCCATGCATATATTATCGTATAGGTGCGCGTTTCCTTAGCTCTTCCCCGAGGGTTATGCCTATCACGTTGGCCACCACGTTACGCCGTTTTTGACATTCACATACATTGCGGCGGATATTGAGTTAGTGGAGACCTTGGGAAAGCTAAATCCTGTCAAATAATAATAATAATAATAATAAAAAATAATCGATTGGAAGCTTACGGTTTCCAATCTCACCGATACAATTTAAAATACTTTTATTTTTACTTATTGCAATTTTATAGATATTGTAAAAATGTAAAATCAAATAATGGGGGTTGCTCGCTAATGGCTTACAATGTAACTTTTTAACTAAATGTTCTTTCCACCTTACTATTTATTATTATAGCTGGGCAAAGTATAGGCTTGGTATTGAACTTTATGTACACACAGATGTACCTATTTTACCGCTAAAAGTGCTCAGCGCATCTCCTGAGACATGACCGCTATAATTATAGTAGAGTATAAATACATTTTTTTTTCAGGTTGCTGAGAAGAGGTTCCATGTTTGTTTTCTCTACAGCTCAAATCAGAAAACTGCTTAATCTCACCTATTTTGCTAGCGGGTCTTCATTAATCGACTTGGGAGCAGGAGACGGCGCTACCACCGACAAGTACATGCCACTGGTCAACCACATTTATGTGACAGAGAAATCAGGACCAATGATTCGAATTTTATCAAAAAAGGGTTTTAGGTATAAATTTAATATATTACTATGTCTTTTTTTTGTTAAGTTATTTTTGAAAACTAATTATCGATATTATTACAAATGAATAATGCGAAGGGAACTAATTCATTTGTTATTTATAAAAAACGTTAACAACCATGTTGTCATTGAGAACAAGGCAAAGTACACACCGAGTCTCTAACCGTGTATAGAAAACAAGCGTTTTTTTTTCAACTTAATAATTTATAACACACAAATATTGTTTACAAGTGACATGAAATAATTGATTTCCAAAACTCCTTATCACGAGACGATTTAACGACGTCTATTGCCTCCATTAAACTGCCGCCTAGAATGATTTTGATTAATTATTACTTAGGATGCTAGTTTTTTTTTATTAAATTCTTTGTAATATGTAAAATGCCGTTTAGATTGTTAGACGCCGACTTGTGGTGGAATCACGAGGAGAAGTTTGACATTGTGTCTTGCCTAAACTTGCTGGACCGTTGCAGCGATCCGATGGATTTACTCGACAACATCAAAAACTCTTTGAAACCCAATGGCAGAGTTGTGATAGCCCTCGTCTTACCATACAAGCCGTTTGACGAATTTAGTGAGTTTTTTTTTTTTTATATTATTATATAAAACTTTATTTTTCTATAATATAATTTATATTAATTACATGTATTACAATTTGCTTCTCACAGAGTCCGTAGTACCCGAAGAAAAACTACCGATCACAGGCGATTCGTTTGAAGAACAAGTAACGTCTACCATCGAGAATGTATTCGAACCGGCCGGCTTTAATGTGCTCTGTTGGACCAAACTACCGTACTTGTGTGAAGGAGATTTGAGTCAAGATTATTACTGGCTTAACGACGCAGTTTTCATATTGTCGGTGCCACAAATAAAAACAACGTAGCAATATAATATAATTATTTTATTTTATATTTAATTTTAAAATATCATCTAAAATATTTTAGGAGTCAATTATTATTACTATTATGAGTATTTATATTTTTACTTAACGTAAACCACAGCAAAATTACAATTTTATTTTTGCAGTGTAAAACTTATGTATAAATTAAAAAAAATAAAACTCATTGTTTATTTATAACAAGTGACTGCATTTTTTTACAAATAGGAATATAATATTAAAAACATTACTTTAAATCAATTTAACTTTTTTTTCTTTATAAAATAAAAAATAAAAAATGAATTAGGTAAGATCACAGATATGTTTTTTTTTTTTAAAGAAAGATGAACTATGATTATTATTTTATTAATAAAATATAATAATTAAGAGGGTGCCACGCTAACCGTATTTCGGCCGTAAAACTTAATGTGTGGGAGACATAGATTTTCAGGTTGTATTCTTGGTACAATTACAAAATGTTTACAGTACATCGTGAAGAACCTTATCTGTGTTACAGCTTTTTATTTTTTTCATTACTTAAGCACAAACCAAATTATTCAGTCATAAAAATTAAATTTTTTTCATTTGTTTATTAAAAGTTAGGGAGTATTTTCATCAAAAAAATAAAAAGCAATGACACAGATTTTCTTTTTTATGTATAGTGGAAATTTGGTAAATATACGATCAATACTGCTCTCATTAGTTGTACCGCTTAAAGCTGTTTTGATGAAAAAAAAGTATTATAATTTTAACTATAGAAATGACTGTGATAGTCTGAAAAAAAATTACAACCAATAAAGTATCCTCATTACTGTGTTATAATAAGTATACACTATAGTTTAAGCTTTAAACTTAGTTTTTGCTAAAAATTGTCATTATTTTACTCCATAATGGCTGGTGTGGCGTCCTCTTAATACACATAACAAATTGATTTCATATAGGTGTATATAATTAATACATAAATATCATTAATTTTAATGTGTTGTTAAGTATAATATAATAGTGACAAGTTCAAAAATGAATAATGGCAAACAAACAGTGGTACAATAACTTATAGAAAATGGTTTATTGCTAATAGTTTTAAACATTAAAGGAATCTAAACAATCACAAAACAATTAAAATAATAATAATCACTAATAGAAAACAAACTGTTACTGCATTTTATATAACATTTTTTAAAAGACTTTGTTTTAAACAGACTAATACAATTTATCCGACTTGTTGTTGAACACAATTTTTTGTGACTTTGAGGTAGTAAAAAAAAAAATTAAATTACACAAAGTTATACACAACAACGTGATTTTTCTTTCAATATTGAGTAATTGAAGTATCCAGAAATATTGTAAAATACAAAAGTTTTTAGTGAAATATTAGGCTACTCAATCTTACATCACTATAATAACTAATTGAATTATTAAAGATCAAACTATTTAAATCACCGATTGGCAATAAATTACATTAAAAAGTTTAAATATTGACTAGCTTAAAATTGAATACAACATTATAATAATAGATTAAATTACTATAGGTGCTATATTGAGTAAACCAATCCGTCTTTGTTATTTGTAAAGCATAAATGTAGAATAGTTAAATAAAATTTACTAAAAATGTTTGTATTATAAAATATTCAACACTTGTATTGCACCACTAGTTTACTAATGAGCATTTAAAAATGAAACACAGTTTCAGTAAAATATGAAACAATGACAATCCATTATATTATGTGACCATACATTTTTCTTCACTCATTATGTTAAAATTAAATTCAATATAATTTATTCTTTTGAGAATTTTCATTTGCTATAATAAATTTACATCGCAACATAATAAATATTAAATAACATCAACAACAAAACCAATGATAATAATAAGTAGTAATATTGTATCGAGTTCTGATAAAGGAAAATGGTATTATTCGAAATCATACAATTTATATTGAACAGCAATATATATATATATATATATATAAATACATTATTAATTTGTTAGCTCACTATCACTAGTTCAACACTTGGTTACAGTTGGTCTCTCTCTTTAGGGACAGGCAACTGTCTAAAGAAAGAGATTACCATCCTTCACCATATCATAGCAGAACCCTATATGGAGTCTTAAAATCTTCCATATAGGAGCAAGACATACGGAAAAAAAAATTATAACTTATCAATATTATTATCATTATTATCATCGTTAATGTTATTGACTATTTCAGGTCTGTTTAAAATCAAATATAATATTAGATGTTTATAATTTTGTTAATAAAAATATCTAAAGAAACACAGGGTACTCAAAACTATTTGAAAGAAGTATATAATATAAATACCTACAGGTATTATAATTTTTTCATAAATTTGTATGGTTTCAACTACATAAATTTCACCATTTTATATGTATTTATTATACATAAACAGGCTTGTGGTTTATGATAGTAATTAAGCACAGTTTTACATTTATATTTTAAGTTGACAAAGTATACTACTCAAATATTAAGTATTTTAACTGTCACAAACAAGGTAATTATAAAAAGATTTTTAAAATTAATAAAAAGAGAAAGAAGCTTTTAACTAGAGGACACTCGCAAAAGATATAAATAAAATGGCCCAAGTATTTTTAAAAACGATCTTGAGATCTTTTCAAAAGAAAGAAGAGGAAATAACCATTATCTTACCGCCTATCAAGAAGGCCAGAGAATTTTGACTAGATACTTATTCCATTAATAAATTGTGTGATTCTTAAGAATACATTTTAAAAAGTCATATTATGTTGATTTAAAGATTTACTTAAAGTGATGATGTCAAGTGGAGCATTAGTTTTGCTTATTGCGAGTTATTGCGTCACAGAGATCTTTGAAATTTGCAGCCGAAACGGTTTGATTTGAGTTATCCAGTACATTTTTTCTCATTCTGGAAATACATATTTTAACATTACTAGCCTATAAATAAAGTATGTGATAAATAATTAATTTATGTAAATTACCCGTGTTTATCCTCATTCTTCCAACTACTAACAGCGATATGAGGCGGTGGAAGAAACGAACGCAGTGATTGCACAAGTTGAATCGTATCAATCAGTGCTAAAAAAAAATATATATAATAATTATTAATAATAATTTTTATTATAAAGACACATGAATAAAAAACAAGGAGGTGGGCACACACAATGTACATGTCATTAGCTCACTACTAAATCACCACACATATATCATACTATACTATACTTAAAAAAACTAATAGTATTAGTAAAAACAATAAACACAACTCATAATTAATTGTATTGACTTTGTAAACATTACTTTTTTGTAATGATTCAGATTGTTTTCCATAAGGCTTACACATAGCTGGTCTAACACAAGCCTTCATTCTACCCATATTTTTCATGATTTCTGAAAAAGCACGGATAATTTTTTCTTGGCCAGCTAAACAGTAAAATTATACTATTGAAAAACACTTTTAATTATTTAAATAATCATTTAACTACGCTGTAATTACCATCCAAATGTCCCTTTCTATTTTCTGATACTTCTGGCCAAGTGGTGTCGTGAGCAGCCAATAAATCCTTATTGTCTAAATTTTCTAAATTTGCCTTCAAAAAATCGGCCAACTTATTGTGTTGTGCTTGACGAACACTAACAGTTTTTGATGTCTGTGGTATATTTATAGGCAACACATTTTGTACATCGCTTTGATGAGACGATCCAGTTAAATCAACCGGTACTGAATGTTGTTGGGATTGAGCATTACTCGGAGCGGTTAAATTATGAGCACTCAATTGCTGGTTTATCATCTGATTCATAGCAACGTTAGGACTCTCTCGACCAACTGGTACATTAACTCCTTTTGTATCAAAAATTAATAATGACATTATGATAAACAATATTAAAAGTCAGTCGTTATTATTATATCAATAAATGAGTTGCAATATATTACCAGAACTTGCAGAATTGATATAATTGGACTGTTTAACATGTTGAGATAAATCTAATTGAGTTTTATAATAACGGCATGCTGGATTTGGACAATTTTGTACAACTTCAATGATGAATTCTTTCTCCATACCAAAGTTGTCACGACCAATCGTGTAAGATTCCATAACCTAAGTAAAGTACAAGAAATTCAACAAATTATTTTTACAGCATTTATATACTTGTTATGTTATTAAGAATTCAAATACAGTTTAATAGGCAACATTAATAAAATTAATTATCATTTCCTTTAAATTAAATTTGTTTAATAAAATTAATTAGTCATTATTACCGCTCGTACAGTTCCTTCAATGCCTAGATGTAATCCATGAGGTCCATTCATATGTTTTAACATTACTGCATTGGCAAAATGTTCATAAGGTAAGATAATTTTACCATTTTCCCTAAGGATCAATCTTGCTTGGCTGTCTAATGATACTCTCGATGCCATCATTCTAAATAAGAGGAAATTTCATTTTTTAAATGCAAAAACTATAATATTGTTGGTCAATTTTAAAGAATATATGCACAAACGATATCCTTTCTTTTTACTAATTGTTAACAGAAATAATTTTTGGGTAAAAATTTACTTTAATATGGATTAAAAATCAGAATTTATTTTGGTTCAAAAGTTATAGGTACTTGAACCAAGACGATTATCGCTGCACAAGTAAGCAAGTATATCGCCAGCGAGTCAGTGGCACAATCCAAGAAAAAATGATTACACTTCTTGATGCAAGCAAGGAAAGTTTAATCACTCTTGATAGTTTTTGATTTAAGTACGTAATTGGATTTATACATAGAATTTCAGAAATAATGAAAACCATTTTATTTAAAATAATTTTATACTTATTGCCCGGTAAAATAGATGTGTTTCACAAATTTTATACATCAATATTTTTAGTGCAAGTCAAGTTAAAGTTATAGTATATACAAATAAATTACAAATGACTTGCAATAGTAATAATTATTATTTTTTAATTTAATACGAGGTATAATTAATTTCAAATACATACTGCAAGTAGGAAGCACTGGGTAATACAGACGAATCTTTCATCTCTGAAAAGATTTTCAATAATTCTATACTGTTCCATCCTTTATTTTGCAAATAGAGCTGCAACAACATGTAAATTTTCTCTGTCACATAACCGCTGTAAGCCGAATTGATGTCGGCCGACAGTCCTTTAGGAACTATATTTTTCATTGCTTCAGTCAGTCCGATATCCATTTGATTAATATTAATATTAAAAATCTTAACTTATGTCGATTGAAATTTACAGTTGAACGTTCGCAAAAATAATTTTGTCGGCTATACGTCAATTGCCCGACACCCAAAAGACAACATTATACGTTTAAAACAGTTACTTCGTTTATTTTAAATTACTATATTGCCCTCATAGTGGTATAAATAAAATGTATTCGCCTAAATTCTTAAAAAGACTAATAAATATTAAATATTTTTTAATATTTACTTACGTCTTACAAAAAAAAATATTGTTATTTATTTTTTTATCAAAAAGATAACAACAAAAATATTACTATTACACAATAATCAATCAATGTTTTTTCTTCCATGATATGATCTTCTTTTTTAAGACACTAGTTTTTAAGGTTAAGTCTAGTTCAATTGATGTAAATACAAAAACACAAATCTAAATTTCTTCCCATTCGTGTTTAAACTTTTGTGTGTTCTAGGCCGGAAAAATGGTAAGTTTTATCCAGTTTAATCCGTTTAATTATATTAAATTTTTTATTTATTTTTAATTTATCATTACAATACCTAAAAACTGTATTGAATTAAAGTTTGATTTGTGTACTAAAATTCGTTTTAATTAAATTATACTTGGTTGTTTTAGACGAAAGTCAAGTGCTCAGAATTGCGCCTTAAGGATAAGGATTCCTTGTTAAAACAGCTCGAAGAGCTAAAACAGGAATTGGCCAACTTGAGGGTTTCTAAAGTCACCGGTGGTACAGCATCAAAACTTTCCCGGATGTAAGTAAATGGATTTCGTAAATATCTCATTTATGTTACCTTTTTCTTTAAGTTTTTTGAGATGTTTTGTTTGTTTGTTTGAAATGCGAGATTCGTTAGTTCCGATTTGTTGTAACTACTCTTATGTAGATTGGTAAAATTTCGACCATATTAATTACTACCTACTAATGACCTGTCGGTTCGGTTATACCAGTTCAGCTTAACAATACCCAAAATTATGGGTTGAAATAAACTTAAATTTTTATGCCAAACCGGCGAGAACAGTCATAATTACTTTTATTAAATGTATAGCTCCAAGGCTTTATTTTTCATTATGGATACAATGATAATAGTGTAAAAAATAACAAGTAAAAATGAGTAATTAATATAATATAACATTTTAAACTTTTAACAGTACTTCCTATTTTAAATCGTCAAATAATTTCTTAATATTTTTTTGGAATTGTAAACATTTTATAATATTGACTACTTTAAAAGTGAAAATATGTAAGACATTTATGTTAACCTTCAAGCGCTCACATGTTTTAAAGTAACACCATCGCTCGTGTGGCGATATTTGCACTGTCTTAATCTATCGCAAAAACAAAAATTATGTTTTGTTATTAAGAAAGACTGAATTTAGGCTTAAGACGTAGCATGTTATTTCAATAAACGAATTGTTATTGTAAAAACGCAATAAAAGTTCATTATTGCTATTAGCCTTAGGAAGTTTTTATTTTAAATGTGTTATTTTTCTGTTTTAGCCGTGTTGTGCGTAAAGCTATTCTACGATGCTATGTTGTTATTCATCAGAAACAAAAGGAAGCATTAAGAAAAATTTTCAAGGTAATAACTAGTTGAATGATGATTATTTAGCTACTATCTTTAGTCTGCTTAATAAATTTCACCAATTTGTTTTATTTTCAACATGTCATTTATTAGAATATACCTACCCTACAAGTATAAATGTTCTATTGGTATAAAGTTTTGTATACCAAATGCAATAAATTATATAATATGTCTATAAATGGTATTGAATTGATATTTGACTATTATATTACAGCAATAATTTTTAAAAAATGTAATTATTTTTGCTGATATTAGATAAAAATACTAAAAATTTGAATTATTCGTCTCGATAATTTACTGTTAGTGCCTTAAAAAGAGTTTTATTGAAATTATCAAAGTATTTTGCAATTACTAGTACTTTGGGTATGATTAAATAGAAAACATTCTTAATCAGTTGGCTAAAATTTCATTAATTGGGAGGTACAGTTATTAAACTTGTCAATTTTTGGTTAATTCAATATAGTATTTTTGTAATAATATTTTATTTTTTATCATTATATTTTTTTCAGAACCGTAAATACAAGCCTTTAGATTTGAGGCCAAAACTTACCAGAGCTAAGAGGCGTGCTTTAAGTAAGAAGGAACGCAGCATTAAAACTCTGAAAGAAATTAAAAAGAAGAATAAGTTCCCCCCAAGGATGTACGCTGTAAAAGCTTAATTTCTGTTAATTTTCTGACTAATAAAATACGGTTTGATAATTTGACAATTTTTTTTTTTTAAATACTTATCTTTTTCAAACAACCTGACTCAAAAACCACTTTTTATTGTGTTTTTAAAAAGATACATTTTTAAATGGTTGTGTATAGAATACTGGCTGTTGATTTCATGGTGTATCCGCCATCAAATGAGAGATAACACTTAAGAAGTACAGGTGGACATCTGCATGTTGTAAATCTGAGCTACATTCAAGTACTCCAGAGACAGATTTGGTAGTATCGGTCCAGTGGGAGAGCTAAAAAATCGCACTATGTGTTGAAAAAGTAATGAAACCATAAAATGCCAAGTTGTTATGATGTAACCAAAAACACTGCCTTATTTTGGTTTTAACCAGGTTACAAAAGATTTATAGAACTTTTTCAAGAAGTTAAGTTTTAACAGTTATTTTGTGACACATAAATATATTTAACTACCTCATTTTATAATACCATGAGTATTTAAAGTAATATACATGAATATAATATTGAGTAATTATACTTAATAATTTATAACAAATTTTGATCATAAACCATCATCGGAATAAAAATTGAATTAAAAAAAAAAAAGTCGACAAAAAATATAAAAGTAAAACACAATTTTTAGATGTTGAATGTTATTTAGAAATTTATTAGTGGAAATTATGTAATAATTTTACACGTAAATAACGTAAGTTTTATTTTTATAGATAATTTGAAATTTAAAATCTACTTGACATCAATGAAAATTGAGTAACTGCAATGTACACATAGATGTTAAAATAATATAACAAAATTGGTATTTGGTACTTGAAAACCCTATTTAAGATAGATCTAATCAAATCTATAAAGAAAAATGGCTTTGAAAATATGTCTATAACAATATTATTTACTTTTATTAGCTATATTAAGATTTATTTAATTTTTAAGTCCTGACACAGCCTGAAAGGGTGCGTTGCTGTATTTGCGTAAGTGCAATCTCTTTTTGAACAGACTTGGCTATTAATAATAATGAAAAATAAACCCCAATTTCTGGTTTATAAATAACTTTTTAATAAAATGATTCAAAACCAATGTGTTAACTCTGACTTTGTTATTTTTTAATCAATTGTTTTTTGATATTATAGTTTTTCAATAATTTATTACTTGTATAGTATAAAAATGTGTTTTCAAAATAATGAATGTCAACAAGTTATTGAGTAAAATGGATACACTATTTGAGGCTATTTAAGAAACATTTGCCACGGGTACGTTTATACTCCAGTTTGACATGGTACAATATGTTTAAGAGTTAAGCACAATTAGCAGATTTCTTTTTTTAACGAACATAGAAAAAATAGCAACAATATTTTTTCTTAGTGTTATGTTTATAAATGGTCGACATAATATTCATGAACGTTAGCAGGTATTGAAACAACTTATCTCATTTTGCCGAGTTCTTATTAGGCTCTATTGTAGGGTAGAGCACTACAAATTCAATGACAGGAGATATAAAAATAATAATGATTCCTTATCTTACATATAAAGCATATTTTACAATGTAATTAAAATTTTCTAAAGATCAGAAAAATATTAAGAAACATATACTATAATAATTTACGGAATATTAAATAAAAATTTTTGAAGTGTGACTAAAAAATTGTACACACAAGTGTACCTAATTTTGTGACACTGCATAAAATTTTATGTTTAAAAAAAAAAATATTGAAAGAAATTGTCTATGGTGGAAAAAATCTTTATAACATTTGTATTCAATTGACAATAAAATGTTTTTAACCATTTTTTTTACAGACTTAATTTTTAATGTTATAATAGATGCCCATTAGATTTAAATATAATTACCTAATAAAGAAAACTAAAACTGTAGTTCTAAAACACAAATTAAGATAAATAACTAATTAGTATTTTTATTCGTGGTCTGACAATTAGACGCATAAATATTAAAATCAACTTCATTCAGATGTAAGTCTCTTGAACCTTTACTTAACTCATCAGCATCATTGAAATTAAAATTATTAGTTAATATAAATCTCGATTTTAAAAAGCAAAAATGATGCTAGAGTTTTTAAAAATTAAATGATTTTTCAAAATTATTATACAAAGAAGTTTAGTCTAAACGCTCTTCATAACTCATGCGCTCATGAAGCTGCACTGCCCGTTCCGTGCTACTGACCTAGTAGACATATTATATTACACGTTCAATTTATGAAATTATGTACCATGTGTAAAAATTATATATTGTACCTAAAAATGCTATTACTTATACTAACTACCGCATAACCCTATAGAAATTTTCAATACTCATCCCAAACCCAACCAACAACTCAGGTTTTTTAAGTATAATGAAATTTAAAACTAACTAGATTTTTCCTATTGTCAAAATAGAATAATCTTTGAATATGGCTATGTGCCAGCTAGATAAGATAGAATATTTTAATTTATGGTATTATTTTATCTACACAAAAGTAAATACACATTTAATTACACAATGTATACATTTTTACTTTAATAGGCCAGCAGACATTTTTTCCCAGGCCTGAAATAAAAACATTTCAGTTAAATTTGTTTTAGATTATCAACAGGCCTAAGTGCAAGCATTTCAACTTTATACAATCCTGTTGGAAAATTTCTTTGTGTTCTTCTTGCAACGCACATCAAATTAGCTTTTTGAAAAATATAACAAAAACATCCAAAACTTCTTGTAACGGAACTATCTTCTGTATCTATTTCTCCTTCTTCGTTTGAAGAAATATTTTCTTTAACAACTATAAGACCATTTTTGTTTAGTGACTTGCTATAATATAAAAACATTAAATAAATATAACATATTATCTATGAAAATATTCTTTACAAATATAATACTTACCAACATTTTTTTAAAAATTCTACTAAATCGTTATCGGTAACGTAACCAAGAACCCACTGAATCCATATAACATCATACTTTATATCATTATCAGGTGAAAAATCTTGTAGACCTGAAAAATAAATACTTATTGGTTTTTCTTCTTGTTGATAATGTCATAGTGTTTATTAAGAAGCATACTTACTAACACAATAAAAGTTTTTGGCATTGGTTCCATCGAGTTTGAGTTTTGCTTCATTAAGGAATTTTTCATCTTGCTCTAATAAGTCAATACATTCAAAATGTTTAGACAATAACTGTTCAGTTATTCTACCAATGCCAGCTCCGCAGTCAAGTGCTCTGTTTTTGGATGGACCGTTTTCAATTTTAAACAATTTCTTGAGAAAAACATTAGAATCATTTACGTCCAATGTAGTCAGACTAGAAAAACCTCCTAACATACCGTTCAACGAAGCAGGTATATTAGACCAGTAATCTTTGCTTTTAACATAATTTATTTCACTTCCGTCCATCTTCAGAGATTGGTTAGCCCTTTAACATATTATTTAGAAATTATGTCAAAAAAATTCATTATTAGGTTATTGAATAAATATAATTTATAATTAAATTTTTCGTTATTTACTTATAAAAAAGTCACAAAACTACCAGTAACACACTACCAGCGATTTAGAATATTTAAATTTGAACTTGTCAAAATAAATAGGTACGTCAGCGGCTTGTGTTATCAATTTTTACAATATGGCTGCCGGTTTTCTCTTGTAAGAAGTATATCATCCTCAGAGAAAAAGGGGAACCATTTTACGGTTATCACAAATTGCTGACTTACCTATTTATTTTGTCACGATTTGAACTATTCGTCACTTATCATAGACCTATAAAGAAACCTTTATAGGTCTACTATGTTACTTATCAATCTTGTCATTAGAGTTTAGCGTTGTCAAGATAGTCAGAGATAAACTCAAACGGAAGAACGATAATCCGTGTTATTACTATCACTTTATGGTTATTACACATAAGTTGATGATAAGTCAAGAGTTAATTCAGAACATTTAATTATTAAAAAAATCAATACTTATACAACGAGTTTTATTCTTATTGTTGTTTCTCAAAAGCAATCGTCATGTCGAAAGTGTCATTTTCAACATTAGCTTATTGCAAGATTGTAGCCCATGCAGCCAAATATCCACATTGTGAAGTGAACGGGCTACTTATTGCAGACGCTCCTGCAAAAGGTGACAAGTTAGTGATCATTGATTCCGTTCCCCTGTTTCATCAATGTCTTCATGTATCACCAATGTCTGAAATCGCACTTATGCAAATCGATCAAATTGCCAACACATGTAATATGTACATTGCTGGTTATTATTTGGCTAACGAAACGTTGGACGATTTGAGGTATGTCTCTTGTTTTACTTACAACACCCTATCAATGCCGAACAAATATAATTGTATGATTTTAATAATCTAAATAATACATTTATACAGTAAATGTTAAACAATGTTTATTGTTTTAAGTTTATATATTATGTTAGACGTGCTTGATAGTTGTAAATTATAAATTATTGTATGATAATATATAAACTTGTTATTTTTATAGTTACGATAAACCAGCCCATAAAATAATGGATAAGATAGCTGAACACGAGACAGATATATGCATGGTTGTGGTAAGTGTTTAGCCCAAAGTTTTGGTTGATAAAATTCTTAATTTAATTAAATTTTTTTCTAGATCAACAATAGATTAATGGAAATAAATCAAAAGGAGAACGCTTTAGTAGTACATAAACATGAAGAAGGAAAATGGAAACGTTGTTCCAGGTATGTTTTTAAAATACAATTTATTATTATTACAATGAGTATTACATAATATTTTATATGTATTCAGTGTGCAAATAGAAAATGGTACTTTGGCAGCGGCATCAGCAATTCTTCAACAGCAGTCATATAAAAGTTTGATAGATTACGACAACCATTTAGACAACTTGTCTTTAGATTGGTTTAATACAGAATTCGCAAATTTAGTTCAAAGAACTTCAGGACAAGATACTGGTCGGATGCTAACAATTAATAAATCAATTTCTTGACAATTGCATTGGGATGAGGAAATGAAACAAATCAAATTTTGATATATTCATTTAGAGTATTAATTTTTTTAGTTAAATTCTTAAACATTTAAATATACACATATAATTGTTTGTTTAAATGTATCGTTTATGTTTCCAATAATTGTTTTATTTAAAATTTTTGTGTATGATTTAATTCTATATAAATTTTAATCTAAGTAAAATTTAAATTTAAGTTAAAAATAAACTTTAATTGAGCTAAGAGCTACTAAGTTTTTGAGATTACACTAATAGACCAACATAATGCAAAGGGCAATATCTTGAAATTGTTTTTATAGTTTTCTCAGTTCATGTCATATGTGATGTATTAAGCGAAAAGAGACTTTTTGTCGGCATTATCCAAAATTGAGTTAGTGCTAATTACTGAATGTTGATTGATTTTTGAACAATTTAAGACTCGGTAAATCTTTGTGGCTAAAAATTGACTTGAGTTATTTCTTTTTGAAGTTGGTAAATAAGAATACTTTGTTATCTTATAACAAATATTTTTCTCAAAATCTAAGTGGCCGACAGAGGTCCCTTTTCGCTTTCTGCTCACATATTTAAATACATTATTTTGCAATTTTTTTTCAATAAATTTTGTATGGGTTTTAAATATTGATTTGTATTTACACTGTGGCTTGTTTGGTTATGGACTTTCTAAAACAACTAAATCCTTCTTCTAAGTTTTGCTGTTACGACGTCATTCAGTGGCGCCGAATTCTATACTAGGGTCTTATATATATATATATATATATAAACGTTCATGCTGAGGCCGCTAAGTTTTGGAATTGCCCGACCACATTTTTAAGATTTCGTCATTGAATACTCTACAAATAAACTATTAAATTTTTAAAGGTAAGGAGCAAATATTTAATATTTAAAATAATACATATTTTAATTCAGAGTTAGTATGATTTTTAAATGTTAATTGATTAAAAAATAAGTCAGTTTCTAATGTAATATAAGAACTGATTCTAAACTAAACAACATTGAATAACCGCATACAGTTATGAAAAACACAACCCTTGTTTTTACGTTTACCAAAATAAATTAAAGGATCTCCCAAAAGTAATGTTTAATTATTTGAAAAATATAGGTAGAATAAAGTAAACTAAATGCTATTTTTTTATGCTGTGATTTATTTTAGTAAACTGCACCCACCCTTATTTCTGGTACGCCAATGATGTCGGAAGAATAAAGAAACCTGACATTTGAAAATATTCCAGGAAGTATTTTTCTTCTTTCGTTCGAAAAGGGCATTTGGCAAGTACATTATTATCTCAAGTCGCTAATAGGCCATGTTGGAATATTATAGACAAAATATTATTAAAAAAAAATCAATAGTGACGTTTTAACTTATTATAGTATTAAAATGAATTTCTACAAAGCTGTGTTGAATTTGTATACTATTTAAAATTTGTTCATGCTAATTTTCTTACAAGGTACAATATAAAAACTACAGAGGATGTTTTAGTTCACACGTTTGGCGATCTAGCTAATGTATTTTAAATATTCACATTATTCCTTTTCTATCCAAATTCCAAGGTACAGATAAAAAAAATTATTACTTAATGATATTGATTTGTTTTTCCCATTAAGAATCATGTAAAGCTCGGGTATTTGTTCTCATTTAGTATGGGTAATGCAATCGGACTTTTCGATAGTCATTTGTTGCTACAAATCTAGTTTCAAAATGCCAAATTTATTTTATTTTTTGAATTATTGGCAAACAATTAACAAGTATATTTCAATGTAAAATACCACGTGCGGTCAGTGGATCGTTACTGATTAAAATTTTTAGTTTTTACTGGAAAACCGAAATGATTAGAAGGGAAACTCATTTCACGTGTCTATTTATTGTTATCATTTATCACACCAAGGCAAAATAAAGAGGTATGTTAGGGGTTTGTGTTATCATTTTTTACAATATGGTTACTGGGTTTCTCTCGTAAGAAAACACGGCGGCCGGAGTAAATCGGCAGCCATTTCACCGTTATCGCAAGTTGCTGATATACCTATTTATTTTTGCGCCTTTTGATTTGCCGGCAAACTGCGAATAACGAAACAAATGCATATGATAACGTATTATTAGAAGTTAAATAGGTCTCCAATTTTGTGTGTAGAAGTTTGATTTTAATTTTAGAAGACTAAATAAGTTACTTTTTTTGTTTTACTATATATATATATATATATACATAACGTACATAATAATAAAAATAACGTATACGATGTCTTCGAATTCATCTGCATTGGATGATTCAGAAAACTTTCGAATACTAATTGCTACAGATATTCATTTGGGATATGAAGAAAAAGATTTAACTAGAGGTAAGGTAATTGATATACTGAATTTATAGAGTTTTGACAGTAGCTAGAGAGGTCTAGTATACAAGAGAAACATTCTTTTTTAAATTTCTATTATATTATCTCATAAATGTTACTTTCTGGACAGATCTAATGAGTGTTTAGAAATGAGAGAATCTCGTTGTGGAAGACCTAAATAGATACTTACGAATTAATCTAGAAAATAGATTATTCAATTAGGGAGATAGCAATGGAGCTAGAGACAACATTATGAAGTTAAACGGAAGTGCTTAATTTGGTACTAGTGAATATATATTTTTAAGAACAGTGCATATTTTAGCTTTGACTACTCACTTAATGGATAATTTTTTGCTAAAAAGAAATAATTCAAATTAATTTAAAGATAATTACTAGTGAAATTGTAGTGGGTCAACGTAGACTTATGGTATAGTTTTTAAAATGAAATTTAGATGGTGCAAATTAGAGAATAAGTAGAGAAAGAATTGGTAAATGAACAAATTATGAATGAACTATAATGTGTCGAAGCGAAAAAAAGAATGGTGCTTGGTAACAGAAGTATCAAAAGTTGTTTTTAGAAGAAAAATTGAGAAAATGAAAAAGATAAAAGTAATTGCAAATTAAGGTATCTTCAAAAATAATTATTTTAAAAGAAACATATAAAATAGAGCGCTCAAGAAATGGTTAGTTCACAAGAAGGTACAGAATAAAGCCAATGTACTGGGGAAAATTAGGAACATAAGAAGGGCTTTAAGAAGCCCTAGATAAGAAATAAAATAAAAACTCTTTAGTCATACAAACTCCATTTGTTTAATAATTAATACTTTTAACTAACACTTTATTATAATTATTATAGCTGATGATTCTTTTAACTCATTTGAAGAAGTTTTGCAATTAGCTGTCAAACATGAAGTCGACTTTCTCTTGTTAGCTGGTGACTTATTTCATGTAAACCAACCATCTACGGCATGCTTGGAAAGATGTATGTCACTGTTGCGAACTTACTGCCTAGGAGATAAGTATGTGTTTAAACTTTTAAAAATTATTTTTGATAAAATTAAAATACAAAGAAGTTATTAAAATATTTTTTTTTTACCAAATCCCTGGGCCGTTAAGAAATTTTTAATGTGTTAGTTGATGTTTACTATTGCCTAATATTTGTATTATTTAGTGATAATTAATTTTTTGGATAGATGACAATCTAAATATTAAATCTTAACCTTTTCTTTGGGCCCTAATTTGTTTTGCTTATAAGCCTGTTGTACTCTCAATCGGTCAAATTATTTACCTTGTCTACCTACCCACTAAAAAAATAGAGAAACCAATAAGAAACAACTTATTTAATTATACTAAAAAATTAACAAAATACAATTTAATTAGGCATTATATAATATTAAACAAATTTAGCTTTAATAATTATATAAGAATGTAAGCTTTTTCTGATTAAAAGTAATTTTCAGAAATAATACATGTTAAATCTTAAATTCTTATTGTTTATAAGTTTTCAATAAAGTATCAGTGGTAAAAAAAATATTGAGTTAACATTGCTTATTATATTTATTTAGGCCCGTTCATATGGAATTTGTGAGTGACCAAGCAGAAATATTTAAACATTGTAACAATCCGATTGTCAATTTTGAGGATCCAAATTTAAATATTTCCATACCAGTTTTTTCAATTCACGGAAACCATGATGATCCGTGTGGTATTGTATTTGATTTTTTCTTGTTTAGATTATTTTTAATCTGATATCTGTAATTTTTTTACTTTTCAGGTTATCGAGAAATATCTTGTCTGGATTTATTGAGTTCAGTGGGATTAGTTAATTATTTTGGAAAACAAACCAACCTCCAGAATATCAATATATCTCCAATACTTTTAAAAAAAGGATCAAATAAAGTTGCTCTTTATGGCTTGAGTCATATTAGAGATGAAAGGCTGATGCGGTTGTTCAAAGATAGAAAAGTTCGAATGTACCGGCCAGAAGAAGACACGGATCAGTGGTTTAATATATTTGTGTGCCATCAAAACCGTGTTAAGCGTCCAGGAACCAAACATTTGTCTGAAGAAGTTATTCCAGAGTTCATAAAATTAACTATTTGGGGACATGAACATGAAAGCTTAATCGATCCTGTTCATAGCAGTTCAGGAAAAGGATTTGTTTGTCAGCCAGGTCAATAAATAATATAATATATAAATATATATATTTGCTCCCTAGCAATCTTGAGAGAGTTGTTTCCTGGACGATTTATCCCCTTGTGGTTTTTTTCTTTGGGGACTTAAGAAGGCAATCACCCAGGCAGTGGCTGCCATTACACCGGAAATGACACAAAGAGCTATGGCCTTTCCCCGAAAGTTAAAAGTGAACGCCGCAAAGTGTGACCTGTGGCACCGTCTTGTTGGAACCAGCTTCTCCCTCATCATGGTTCCTAACAAACTGGTTTAGGTTAGGTCAGAAGAAAATGGCATGTATACAGCTATCGATCGATACCCCCTCCACCGTTTTACCACCGCCACAACTCACACAGTGCCATTTCTAAATAAGGGAGGTTTTTTTGCCGGACCCTATATATATATAACCTACCCTATGTATATTTATAAATTATATTATAGTGTGTTTCACAAAATTCGATAGGACTATTCAACATGGTTGATTTGACATTTATAACTATGTAAAATTTAAAATTTCCCGTGCATTCAGTGAGTTGGGCTGCATTAAAATTCAAATTTTAGGTCGCGCTTCAGTCGAGTCTCAGTTTTTGTGAAGCGCACTGTAGGTACTAATTAAGAATTGAATATTGTTAGTACCTAAATAAAATACTGAAAAAGAAAAAGAAATCAAGATAATCTCGCTAATTGTGTTTTTAGTATTATCATCGATACAATTAGAGTTGATCGTCTTTCCTAATAGTATGTTGCCGTTTTTACCAATAGATAAAAAAAAAACCATTGTAAAAACAACACATTTTCAGCTCTGCATTGAATTTGAAAAAATTTACTAAAATTATCCTTATTAAAATGATACTCTATTGTAATTACTTAATTTTTTTTTTAGGAAGTACTGTAGCAACATCTATGTGTGAGGGGGAAGCGGGAAGTAAATACGTTGGACTACTTACTATTAAAGGCACCGCTTTTAAAATACAACCTCTAGAACTAAAGACAGTTAGGCTGATGCATTTCGAAACAATACATTTATCAGAATTGGAACACGATTTAGAAATTTCCAAACAGGTCGAAAGTTTTATAGAAGAAAAACTTGATCAAATAATTGTATGCCTACAAATGAAACATAGTGGTTAGTTTTTCATACATTTTTGTTAAATTGTTATTTAGTCAAATTTTTTACTTGTTTTTTTCAATAAATGACAAGAGATTTTAGAGTCCAATAATTATCATTTGACCAAAAACGATATTTAAATGTATTACGTATTTTATAGGTCATCCTAAACAGCCCGTGTTGCCATTAATACGTTTAAGAATATTTTACACCAAAGATACTCAATTCTTTAACACTCATCGGTTTGGTCAGCGTTATCATGACCGTGTAGCAAATTCCAACGATATGATTGTATTAAAGATGGAAAAAAAAATCTATGAAAAAAAAAAAAATTGTATTGATAGTGAAACTTTAGAAGAAATAATGGAAAATCAAGAAGTATTTTTGTTTTATTATTATTTTTGATAGAAAAAATAAATAAATCTTTCAATATAACGTATATACTATTGTTGTATTACATTTATTATAGATGGAAAATATTGAAGAAATGATTAATGTATATTTTAAAGAAAAATCAAATGATGAAGATATGAAACAATTGGAACTATTATCAGTCAATGGTATGGCCGAAGGAGTAAGTCGATTCGTAAACAATCAAAATTCAGAAAGCATTAAAACAGTTATAGAGTGAGTGTGAATAAGTTAAGTGTAATAAGTTTTTGTAGATAATTTTTTAGAACAGTTTTAAATGTATAATTTTATAACATTATTTTAGTTATCAAATGGATAAAGTAAAAAAATATGTAACCAATCAAGATGATTTAAATGAAAATAATATTTTAAATTATATAGATCAATTCCGTATTAGTCGTTCACAAAAAGTACGAGAAGAACTTCAAGAAGTAAGTTTTAAATTTTATTTGCCACTATCACGTGTTTTCCTGTAACTATGTCGATTGGTTTTTAGAATTATTTTGTAAAAAATAAAAAGTGCATAAAAGCAGTTTTAATCATTGTGAGATCAGATGATAATAGTTTTCCATTTATAGTTGTGCAAAATTGATTTGAGTAATAAATAAATAAAAAGGTTGTGTTGAAATAATATATATTAATATTTATTAGAATTTTTTCTAGTAAAAATATGAGATTGTTTTTTTTAGTTTAAATATATAAGGTAATATGAAAAAAAAATATTTAAAAAAATATGCTTGTTTTACCATAGATGCAGAGTGTATTAAACTCAGAGCAGAACCTTACTCCTTCGACATCAAGACAGTCAATCATACAGAATCAATCAAGTGATGAATCTGTGAACTCCGATGAAAATCAGCAAAACGCTTCTTCTAGTACTAGAACTCGTGGAAGAGGTGCTCGTAGTGGAAGAGGTTCTAGAGGAACCAGAGGAACTACACGTGGAAGAGGAAAAGGATAAACTTCTCTTTGAGTACCTTTTTTTAATTATATATTTATAAAATTATTATTATTTTTAATTTTGTTAAATGAAAACAATGTATTTATTTATTTATTTGAAATGAACATTATAAAAAAAAAAAAAAACTGTTTTTCTGTTAAATGTTATAAGTTGTCATTTTTATTATTAAAATATTTTTTATGTCATTTTTGGTCGAAAACAACTCATTCTACTACAATTGTACTGTTCCTAAGAGTATTATGACTTAAGTTTTAAAAAAAAATATTTTAATTTTTCATAACATTTCTAAGACATTGATCAATTTCAGGTTTTTTACAATGAAATAATTAATTAACTAAAAATAATTTAAAAATTGTGCCATGATCGGCGCCATGAAAATGTTATGAAGATTGAAAACTTAAATCGGGAGTATTTTTAGGTAAGTTTTGTTAGAAGTAAAAACATATGTTTTTGTACAAAAATAAATCCCATATGCGTTCTAATAGTAAAAATAAATTAAATATCAAAATAGTTCTCTTTTCTATGGTAATATTGATTATAAATAATATATTATAATACTTATAACCAATGGTAATATTATGTACGTTTAAAAATGACGTTAAGTGAAAAATTGCCAATACAATGCGCCTTGATAAATGCTAGTGTAGAGGCCCTTTAATATGCAATAATCCATTATATTTGACTTTTTAAAATAAAAATGTATTTAATTTAGTATTTAAATACTTTATTTTTTACAATGTTTCTATTTGTATATATTAAATTACAAACATAAAATTGTTATTTGTGATTTTGTTCAAATAAATGTACAACTACATTGTATTATACATTCTTTTAGTTTAAAAAAATTATTTTAATTATTTTATTAAAAAAATGTGTTTCAAAAAGTCTGATACACACATTGTTCCTATTTAATTGAATCACGCGAGTGCGAGTAAAAATAAATTAGGTAATAAAATACACATAATTACTAAAAATGCCAACAGGACATATACACGTATTAAATATTGTAGGTTGTAATATTTATTGTAATACGACGTTACATCGCATACGTTTTGAATTTTATTTATTGTAAATCAAATAATATGCAAATTTTTAATAACAATAATTAATATACCGTAACCATTCGCGTTGTTAGTGTGTGGTATAATAATAATAAAAATGCGAGTTTATAATATTATCGTGCGCGCGCGACACGTTAGTCGCGACCGGACGGATAATTACCGTGTATTCACGGTAATTACGGTGAGCGGGCGACCCGGACAGCAGCTGTACACCACTGTTGGTTTCCACACGTGTCGGCACTGTGTCGCGTGGATCGCCGTCGTAGAAACAATAACAAATCTCGGTCAATCAACGGGACTCGAGTCTCGACCCGTCGCGGTTTCGTCAGCCGCTGCTGTTGATAAGTGAAATCATTATTTACTGAGCTGCCCGCGCGTACGTGCTGCAGCTACCAGTGAATGAATTGTTTTACCTGATTAGCGTTTTTAGTGTGCCCCAGAAATGTCAGAGAAAAGAAAAGGCAAGCGACGACGGGACGATGTGAGTATCTCATCTGAACGGCATTGCCGATTGTGGGTGTATAGCGCAGTACTTTAAGTGGCAAGAGGCTCGGCAAGGGTCAACCGCAGATGTGGCCAATTTGTTTTTGTTTTCATACACGTCGGCAAAATCTTAACGAAACTGTTTCTTTGTGCAGGAGTTCAGCTTAGATCCCGAAACCGCGGACAAGCCGACAAAACAGGAATACGCTGTTGCCAAATGGTTGCGCAAAAACGTTCAACACAAAAAGACCAAATTTGCCGGACATAATGTCGAGTATTTCACAGGTAAATTGCACTTTCTGCTCGCATCTCTCGAGAAAACCGTTGCCGATCTTAATTTTATTTCTTTTGTATAGGAAGCAAGGCGGTCGATAGTCTCCTCGACTCGAAATGGACCACCAGCGAGAAATTGTTTTCCACACGACTTGAGATAGAACTTTATTTGGATTCGTGAGTAATAGTAATAGTAATAAGAAACATTTTTTTTCTGCTTTAACTGAAATTAAAACAACTCTTTAGGATGTTGAAACATCAGTTTTTTCATCGTGCTAAAAAAGTACCTATTTCCGATCAAGAACTGAAAGCGATGAAAAATAAAAAATCTAAAAAAGCTGTTGATACCGATAAAGAAGACAAGAAAAAAACAGACAAAAAGAAAAAAGACAAGAAAGACGATGAAAGTGAAGAAACCAGTAAAGACGATAAAAATGAAGAGGAAAAAAATAAAGCCAGTGAAGTAAGTTAATGTTGTAAAGTTTTATTTTTGTCAATAAGAAGATTAGAAACTATTACTTTTAAAGAGTTGAGTTTAATAAATATTTTAATTGCGTGCGGTTGAATTATGAGAGTTTATAGTTGATTTAAAAATGGGTTTGTTTTGCATGCACGCAACATGTGTGATTTGTTACTAATGTTTCTTAGCGCAATGATTTCGACCAAAAAGCTTAACAAATTGTTGACTATTTAGAACAATCCAATTTCAATTCTATAAAAAGATGAGTTTAATACTCTTATGACAATATTTGGTTGGAATCAGGTTTTTCATACAAATAAAATTTGTTATTTGCAATTAATTGAAACAAAATAAAAATTGTCATTACCTATAAAATTAATTTTTTTGTTTAAAAATTGTGTCTTAAAAAAACCAAGTATAAATAAAAAATGTGTTTTTGGCTTATAGAATTAAAATTGAATCAACATTAAAGTAGTTACAGTTTTGTAAAGTTTTTTTTGGCAGAAAACTGACGCTTCCCATTTCTCTTAACTCTTGACTTATGAAATAATACTCAATAGTTTATATTTCATGCATCAATAATAATTCATATTCACATTTGTGAATCACTTGAGTACCTTAACTATAGAATTTACAACACTTTCCAAAATGTATTATTAATGGATTATTAATTATTGTTAGGTTAGATTAGTGAAATAGTAACTGTTGAGTAAATCAAAGAGTATTTTATGCTACTCAAGTTTCAATTACTTTATTTACAACTATAAAAGGAATTAGATGGTGTTGAAAAAACTAAAATGTAGACTAATGAGAAAAATATTAAATTTTTCTTAACAATGTAACACTTTTTTCTTTCTCATTTCTTTTTAAAATTTTACATGTATAGTTTTCGTTTTTAAAGTCCCTAAAATTTTTAATATTTGTAACAGCTTTTGACTACTGTGTACATATTAAACATATAATGCGACGTATAGCAGTGAAGTGAATGACTTGCGACATTAGAATATAGTAATATTTTTTTTTTTGTGTTTTTAAGGGTGAACGTAAAAAGAAAAGCCGCAAAATTCGATTAGAAATGCACATGGAACAAGCTTTTGTTGACAACCTGGATGCTTATGTATGGATTTACGATCCCATTCCCTTTTATTATTGGGTTATCGGAACTTTAATTGTATTTGGCGGGATTGGGATATGTTTGTTTCCACTGTGGCCGCCACAAGTCAGGTATATGGCTTTTGTTATATGTAATATCACTATTATAAAAAGCTTGTCTTTTTGACTTTTTTTGGCATTTTGAGTATTAAATATGTATAATATATATGTTAATAACCAAATTATTATGTTTTTTTTTTTACATTTTATAGGATGGGAGTACAGTACTTAAGCATAGCTGCGGCAGGTTTTCTCATATTCATTATTGTGTTGGCTATCCTCAGATTAGTATTGTTTAGTTTACTTTGGATTTTAACAACGGGCAAGCTACACTTCTGGTTGTTCCCAAATTTAACAGAAGATGTGGGTTTCTTTGCTTCGTTTTGGCCTATTTACACAGTAAGTTTATGTATAAAAAAGATACTTCTTCCCGTTTCCCTTCCATGGGTACCACACACATGTTTAGGTGTGAAACGGGTGTTAAAGTAATGTAATTTTTTTAATTAATAAAATAAACATTAATGAAATACTTCTTACAGTATAGTGTTTATTCTAAGAAAACTCACAAAAAAGGCAAAAAAAAGAAAGAAAAATTATCAGACGACGAGGACGAAGATGATAAAAAATTAGATGATGGTGATGAATTGAAAAAATCATCCGAATCAGAAGCTGACGACAAAGCTTCAGAAACCAAACAATCCGAACCTGAAAACTTAACCTCAGATCCAAAAGCTGATCAGTTGGAGCATCCAAAGTAGAATATTTTGTGTTACATTTGCATGCATTTATTATTTTTATTATTATTCTTCTAACAGCTTATAATTAAAATTAACTAACATATATGTAACACAGTGTAAAAAAAATCATATAAATTCAAATGTTTCATACATTATTACAAAAAGTAATTTTTTAATTTTTACAATCACATAACGAAATTTGTAAGTGTTCATTTCAATTAACTAGATACTACTAATAATCAAATTAATTGTTGAATTGTTAAAAAAAAATTAAATAAACATCAACTAATTAAACTTGAAAAATATCGACTAATTAGTATCTTATTTCCTAGAGATAACACAGAAGTCACATTGGTAACATTTAAACTATTTTTATCATTTAAAGCTGGTTGTTATTTATTAAATATTAACGTTTTAAAAAAAAAATAATGCGTATACTGTTTCTTATGATTGAAATTAATAATACTATTTTATACTATTGCTTAACCCTTAAATGTACTCCAAGCAGAAAGAACTTCGTACTGGATTTTCCCACAATTTTACTTATAATAAGGATTGATGTTAAGCCAAAGTTATAAGAATGGCCATCGGTCTCTTAAAAGTTGATCAAATACAATTATGCTTGTACTAATAATAATAACAAAGTAAAAAGTCTCTGAACTCGATCATTGGTTGATTGATTTTTGGTTTGTTGTTTGTAGATCTTCAGAAGATTCATCTTCTACCGACACAGAATCAAGTAGCCAGCAATCGCATACCGGTAATGATTTTGTGATGGTGGACAAACAAGATGCCCAAGACACGTAATTAAGTAAATGTTTCAAGTGCACCCCCGCTTTTGTTTTTTAAACAAATAATCTGTTGATTTTATTTTTGTTTTCAGATAAAAATAACAAATCCCTTTATTGATGTTTTCCAATAGCATTTGCTATTTATATGCTACCTATATAATTTTAAATTAATATCAATATATGTATTGTTTAACTGTTATCCTATTATAACTTATCTAATAAAGTGCATTATTATTTTTATATTATTTTTCAGTATGTTAGTACAAAATTCCTATTTCAAATGTTTTTAATAAACACTAATTCTATTTGTTAGTTAAGAAAATCTAAAATAAAAAAAATTATATTATCAAAAATTGAATTATCGCTTAAAATGATGAAAAAGTATATTTATCGCAGTTAAATTAGTCTTCTATTTGTTTTTATTTAATTACTTATTTCGTACTTTGTGCATTGATATTATTTTATAATTTTTTGCAAAACGAGATAAATAATGTTAACAACGTAAAATACCGGTTACATTTTTTGTGATAGAAATATAACATTAATGTATTATGTACTGTTATTTATTGAGATTATTTTAGTGTAATTTCGACGTAGAAATCTAATACATAATTTAATTATTGTTATTATTTAAGTTATCTAAAAACATTAAAACTGACACATAAATTTTATCTTTTATTATATATTATTTTCTTGCCAAGCCTTAAAAATGAATAAAATTTTCATTCAATTAATACTTATATATTTTGGTTAAGTATGTTGGAAATCTGAAAGTGCTATAAATTGTTTAAAGTATTTGAAATCGGTCAAGTCTTACGCAAAGTTGTCTAAAGTTATAATTAAAATTTGCTTAAGATAATAAACAAATATTAACAGAACATACCAAACACTGGTTAAGTGAAAAGTGTTTTTTCTTAACACATTAATAATGTATTAATGTGTAATTGTTAATTATACTAGATTTTAATCGATAGCGTGTATCATACGCTGTATTAATTTCGATGCAGACAATTTAAACTTGTAACAATTTAAAAAATTTACTAGCCATCTATGATCTATTATCAGGTTAACTATTAAAATGTAATTTTTTAATCATACACCACAATTTTAATGGAATTATTCGATCAAGTCGCAGATGTAATGACATGCTACAATATAAGTATTACACTATTATCATAGCCATAATATTATATCTGAAGAGCCGCCAGTCGAGTTTCGGGTTCGACTGTGAAGTTCATAACTCGTTGGCCATTGCTATGCGCTATAATACTATGCTATATTTATTTTAACTTTTATTGTTTACTGTTTAGTTAATTCTTATCACGGATTTTTCCTTATTAGCAACGTAATATTTTAGTATTTACCAATGACTTGTTAACAGGTCAATCGTCAACAGTTGTTTAATTTACATTTTACATTCTAAATATTGATAACAATAGTGAATACTGATTACTGCAAAGTTTACTTATTATGTTATTACTTATCTATGTTATTACTCGTCTATGAATAGTGTTTGGAGTTTAAAATACATTAATCATTAATATTAAATCAAGTATATTCTAATGTGAACGTATTTACCGTTCTTATTTTTGACCTGCGCCTTTGTAGATTTATTTGATAGGTAAAACTGTTATTCTCTTAAATTGATATTTAAGAGAATGACGAATGATAAGTGCTTACTATGGAACTTACTGTAATACCTTTTGTATAATTAGCTTAAAACGTGACTTATATTTTTTCGGCTTTATTTTCGAGCTCAGTATCTAATGGAATCGATTGGTTTACAACTAAATAATAAAAAATATGAAAAAAATTACTCTCTTAAGGCTGTGCGTAAAACAAATTATTGTCGTAGGCCTGGTTCAATATACAAGAGTTTAATTGGAAACTCCAACATTGTAAAAACGAGTAAATACTTTGAAAACCCAATGGGAAAACAATGGATACCACCTAGATCTCCTTACGCTCTTATACAAGAGGACCTGTTCCACAATCCTTGGCAATTGTTGATTGCTACGATATTTTTAACTAAAGTTACTGGTAGGTATGAAAATTAGTATTATTATAAGACTAAAATGTATGAATATTTGAATAGCAGTAGGTACAATTGATTTTCAGCAAAATTAGCATTACCAAAAATACACGAGTTTCTTCAAAAGTGGCCTAAACCAGAAAATGTGATGCAAGCCGACTCTGAAGATTTACTTTGCTCTGTCGAAAGTTTAGGATTAGAAAACACTCGAGTAAAGACTATAAAAGGGTTTACAGGTAAACCTTATTTAAAAAAAACACTTGGCACTTCAAAATTAATACTTTTGAATTGTATTTCATGTAAATAATTTTTTGTTTTAGCTGATTTTTTAAACAAAAACTGGACATATCCTATAGAATTATACGGCATCGGAAAATATGGCAATGATTCGTACAGATTGTTTTGTGTTAATGAATGGAAATGTGTACAACCAGATGATATTTTATTGTCCAAGTATAAAGACTGGTTGACACAGAATGAAAAAATTCTTGGATTATAATATTTATAACTGTTATGATTTATTTTTTTTAACTATTAATTTTAAGTCTTTTTGTTTATATTTATTAACATTTACCAAAAACTTTATATTTTTTTAAAACTAAGTTATGTGATGTATTTACTTATATATATATATAAATTAAGTTTATGAAAAAAAGAAATGTTGTCTTTTTAAATAACTTAAAACAGCTGTTATGTATTTGATGTTAGCTCATAAAAATAATTTTTAAATAAAATATTTAAAGTTAAGTAGTTCTAAACTTAGAGTATTAGGTACGAGAACACAGTGTAAATGCATAGATTTTTGGCATTGTGGATCCGTATAACCCACCACGATTTAATATTTAAACATGATTATTATGATACAATAAAATACATTATGATAGTATTAAACTGTATAAAATTTAGTTATAGTTGAGCATATATATTTTTATTGCAAAAAACATAAATATAATAAAACACACGGTTGAATAATATCGAGTATATATAATAATAATAACTATGTTACATCTCGGTAAAAAATGTTGTAGTGTGAAAATGTTCACGCAAATTTTAGATTGACCTCCAGGCTAAAAACATCTATGTTAAAAGGAAATTTAATGTGTTGAGCGCTGTATATGTTATCTTTCTATATAAAATAAAAACAACTAAAAAAGGTTGAAACCAGATTATTTTTTATGTAAGCTCATTTTTTAAAAACCAATACCCAGTACCTCAATAAGTTAGCATACTTCGTTAATACCTGTCTTGCAATAAATATTTATATTTATTGTCTTATTTTAAGTTTGCTAACATCCAGTTTCATCTAAGTATAATGTAAGTATAGGATTTATATATTCCATTAATAGTACCGTGCATATTTTATCGAACCCGGATCTGTAGAATTTGTTGAAAATTAAATTATCTTTATTTATCATTCGAAAGCTTGACATTTCTGCGAGCACACACCTAATAACTTTATGATCCTTAGGTATTTTTATTATGTTGATCATGACATGTCAGACGTTAACCGCATTGCGGCCATCGCGTAATCGCAATAACCATCATAATGATCATTGTTTTTTTTAGAGATTACCATACAGCAAATGTGACGAATTATTTTACCTATTTTTAGTTGAGGAAAAATTGTTTTTTTTTTTTTATTAACCGACTTCGAATTATTTACGACGGTCATTAATGTAAAGTTTGTTTTTATTTTGTTTGCTCCAAAGAGTTATTGGCACGCAGCATGTTATTGTATATTATATTTTATGAATATCTGCGGGGGCGGAATCGATCAGCCTTCGGGTTTACAGATGACGAGATCTACATAGGTGCGAACGTTGCCAGTAATAATAATAATAATAATAATTGTTTTTTAATTTTAATAAAAGAGTTAATAACCAACGCATAGTTTTAATTTATGATCAAACCCCGTTGCAGTTTTGGAGTGCTATAGCTGAGCGCGTGCCGAACGACTTAATTGCCACGAAGGGCGTTCGATGCATATAATAACAATACATAAACCGAACCGACACATTAATCAATATCGTGCGGATCGAATGCACCGGGCGCCTCAGTATGATATGTGCATTAGCCATTTTTTTATTGTATTATGCACCGAACAAATAGTGATGTCGTCATTGAAATCATTCAAATAACCGACCACTGCCGACTGCCTGCAGTCTTGACCGCACGCCAAACCGCTGCACCCAACGCTGATCGTACGGACGGTATTCAAATAATAATATTTAGGTATTGCATTTTTTTCAATTTTTATATTCAATGGACTAAGTGTTCGTTATGGCAAAAGGAAAATGCGTTAACTGGCATGATCGAGTCGTAGGGACTTTGTCTCCCACGCCCCCTAAAGACTATAGTTAACTACGATGAAGTATTTTCATTCGCTAATACTGAAAATAAATATACTTTAATGATTTCTTACCCCACACAAGTCAAAACGTACATATATCCATTTAAATTATGTACGTGTTGCCAGTATCTTTTTCTATAGTTTAAATGTATCAATTTTGGGTAAATTTGTTGAGGGAATTTTTTTGCTGCTAGTCGCTATTCCAAGCGATTCGGTGGAATTTACTATTGCCCGCTTTTATGTGTTCATCTTAGTGGACTTAGGTTTCAGTAAGTTACACAACGTACCCCGATAAGTGTGTAGGAAATTCGTTGAAAATTATTATTATACTCCGATGGTAGATTCTATCAAAACATTCAACAATACTAAATAATGATATTAGTATTAATACTGCATGTCTGACGTTTTGGACGTCATCCAAATACTTGGTAATTATATTCGGTGCATCTAAGCTGACACCCACTGTAAATACCAACTTAGTAATAATAATACTTTTTTGCACTGTTGTGAAAAACTAGTCCTCCTAGGGTGACAAGGTCAACCGCCCACATCTACGAGGCTAGAGTACGTCCAAGTATTTGATAGGTATAATAATAATCTCGGTAGGATTTAAGAAGCGGTAACGGATTCTTTAAATATTTGTCAAGGAACGCGTAGGAGAAAATCAAATACGGCATTATTGTTAATTTTAGATTTATCGTGTAAATATTGTCACATCATTTTGCATCAGCAAAGCACAAACGTGCGACAATTGGCACTAAGTTTAGGTTTTATCCAGTTGATTAATTATCTACAACAGCATCAGTATCAACTGAAACTGTAAGTTGTTCTATGAGTCATCGGTTTTCTCATAAACTCAAGTCTGTACAAAATATACCAAGTACATGGCAGAAACACGATGGCTTGAAACCTAACTAAGAACCTTTTGCTTCGCCTTTTTAATCAGCTATTTAGTATTGGGCATTGGCCACCCTAATGCTCAATACGACCTGTTACATTTACATTACACAAATATTGGCAATTCGTCCTCTTGTTTTCTAACCCAGCCAGGAATAATATAGACTTTGAAAGTTGTTTCGAAACTTCTAAATAGGGTATCATTGTTTTCATTGCTTCATTGCTAGTTTATGATTTTATGAACGAGCCCCAATCATAGGCATAAATTCCAGTGTACATAGTTTTTATTCCTTCTGTAGTTGTTCATCTAGTATTATTAGCATACCATCTGAACAATTACTTAAAATAAACCTCTCGAATCCTGAAAGCCTTATGTATTTACCATATAGGACATGTTTTGTGATTTGTGTAAACAGTCAGTCACAACGACTAATGGAATCTAGTAAATACCGTGCCGAAAAAAAGCCCAACCCATAATGTGTGAATCTTGAGTCTTGACACATAATCTAAACACTAGATATTTCATCAAATTAAATATATTTACTTTTTTCAAACAAGATATAATTCTGAAATAAAAGTTTACTGATTATTACTGGCTAAACTTATCTAACCCTTTTCAAGGAAAGAAAAAAAAGAAGTTTTACATGTATGTATAATGTATATATGTATTTTATATGTTGAATATGATTAAAAAAAATTAGGCCTTAACGGGTATTGGACCTGTAACATATTCTATTCAATAGTTTCTATAATGTTATACTGTTTTAATGAACATATTTATTTTTTAATTACATTATATTAAAATACAAAAAATTATTTATTATTATCGAATAGGAACACTTGGGTCACTCGTCATGATTTAGGTTTAATTTGACATTATCAACGAGTCAACCATGTTAAGTGATTTTAAAATGTGCGGAACAATATAGTTTTTAACATATTAACCGTATAAGGGCGATGTAATTTCTAGTAAAAATAACACAAATCGACAATGTGTAATAAATAATATTTTAATATCGTCGTTTGCGTGTAAATGGACGATGTGATATCTAATGCCACACTTTGATGTAGTTATAGAAAACGGCAATAATACAAAACGGTGTTTTGTTTATTAATCACATAAATCTTATTTAAAACTTTAATTGCACTGTCTTAGTGAATAATTTATTACATTTTTTATGAATAAAAGATATTTTATTTGATTATTTTCATTATTAATGCGTTGAAGTTTTAACTGTACAACTAAAATTATCATAATCTACCCCGACCTTTATCAAAAGATATTTGTTGGAGGAACTTGGAACCACTTGACATATTCAAAAATAGTTCATACGTGTATACTACTAAAAAAAAAAATCTTAAAAATTTAATATTCAACATAGGGTACTAGGTGGACTGCAAACATTTAAAATACATCCTAATGAGTTACTTTTATTTTAGCTTACAATAGTGAAACAAGGTAAATTGTTCAAACAACAGAGAGAGGAGACGAGATGTACTTTTTTATTTTTTTAACGCCTAGTCGTCGATACGTTTTAAGAACTGTCATTTTATGTTTGCAGTATTTAGATAAAGAGTATCTACTTAAACCCAATTTAGTTTCTAGCATATTTTCATAGACCTAAATTAACAGTCGTGTGCGTAATCAGCAGTAATATTTTTATTATCGACTATCGTTTTTGTATTTATATTTTAGTCATTGACGTGAATAAAATTTAGAATGTTGAATTAATCAACTCGAAATGAGTTTAACAATAACGCCACACATATCCGCAAAATTGTTGGCCTGATTTTTAACCATTTAAATTAACATTGCGAATTGATTTTACCAATCATATAGTTTAGTTTTTCTAGTTCTTCCAATCGGCCTGCCAACTCCTTAAATAATTTCAACAGTATTTTGTTTTTAATTTTCTACTATATACGAAGTCATGCGAGCAATTATTATCATTTAAATCTCTTGGTATTGCATTAAAGAGTAGGCGTGGTGTTCTCCTTGAACGCGATTTCTTCATATTTTTAAATAATATCAATAGTCAAATATTTTTATATTTATTATTATATTAATTAAATTATAAAATAATAAACATATTACGTTTTATGTAGATACTACTAGCGCTGTAAGAAAACTATATTTTAAACACATACTCTAAGAAAAAGACATAATGTATTCGAACCTTAAAACCTATCTAAATTCATTTAAGTTTCAATTGTGGGTGTAACGTAACAGCTAGGTATGGGATGATATCAAAACGAATAGATACAAAATAGCATATTGTACATATTCTATCCGACTATTTGAATTTGAATTTAGTTTCTCGAAAAAATGGAAACTTGCCAAAAAAAAACACTAATTCGGTTAGGTTGTTTTGTGTAAATCGTTTAAATAAATCACATGTCAATTAATTACTTACATGATTACTAAGCTGATATGTTGTTGTATGCGTTATAATGTGTTTTATCTGATCTCACTAATTGTATGAGTAAAATATGACTGACACATTCCGTTGTTCATTAATATCTGTCGAACGTATTATTAACTACACAATATTTTATTTCATTTAATATAATATTAATTGTCCTGCTAACTGTGAACCATTATTAGTATGGACTCTTATTGGAACAACAGCTCTTTGCCAACTCTCCCTAACTACATTCCCCCTATCTCCATTATTTTAAGAAAATTGTCGCCCCACTATTGCTGCTCACTATGTCACTTGCCCTTATTTGCCTCACACCAAGCATGGTACTGAATAAAAGCGACATCAAAGATATAAAACTATTATAGTCTGATTTGTAAAAAAATGTTGTTTTTAACTTAACCTAATCGTAGCTAAAAAAATATTTCAGGAGGAAAAGAGGCTCTTTGGTTAGATAATTAAT